GGATTACCAAATGATTTCCAAACATGACATGCTTATAGTCGAATTGAGCGGCTAGACAAGACGAATCCAATGAGCCCAAGATTGCCAAATTTTGATATCACTAAGACATTTAAATGCCAAATAAATAATCCATGATCAAAAGATTTAAGATCGATCATGCATTCAAATCACTCCCAATTTAATTTCCTATTCATTTAAATTTTTTTTCTTGGTTTATATTAGCTTAATCATGTATTGATTCGATCTTAAAGATTTTTTATGATTTGTTTTTGTGCAATGAGATTTTTGATATCACGTATTTAATTAATATATTGAACTTGTTCTAACAGTAATCAAGTGATTTGATGATTGAAAGTCATTTTGTGAAGAAAAAAAATAAACTAATTCATTATCAAAGTTTTATCTTTTTTAAAACTAACTATTCTGATCCCAAGCTCGGATGTAAAAAGTTGAAGAAAAAAAAAAGGCCCCCCTAAATACATTTTCTTGCTCTGCCATTAGGGGTCGGCCAAAAATCGAATCGAGACCCTGAAGGATCCTAGGAGAAAATATATGGGGATGCAAATTCGGGAAAGACACCCAAACAGGGACATTAGGGGATTCAACATCCACATCAAACGAAGGCAACCGCTTGATCAATCACATATATCAATTGTTAAGAAAATAGGAATGATGCACAAAAACACGACAGTAATCCAAATCGTTCGATAACTTAATCAAAACATTCTACTCATTGAGCATAGTAGCAGAAAAATCGCCATTAAGTTTAAGATTGACAAAAAATCTCCTAATGGCATCAAGGGATGGCCTGTTGGTCGGAAACTTCACCACCAATGCAAACTCAGACGGAGCAGCTAGAGAAAGCACCTCAGCCTCAGAAATCCACAATAAAGGCATCCCACGATGAGAAGAAATCTTCAAATCAGGGAAGAAAAAAAATGTTACCCGAGAGAGCATCTCTAAAAGACTTAGAAGAAGAATTACCCGCAAGAAAACCAGTATCGAGCAACTTCGAACCAGCCATCGGAAGCAATAAACGAAAAAAACACATAAAAGGCAAAAGGAAAGCACAAGATCACTTCCCTGACCGAAGAGAGGCGGCAGAAGGTGCGACCACAAGCAGAAAACCTAAATCACCATAGAGGAAAAAATCCTAGCAGAGCATACATTTCTCTAGCATAGCTGACCACAAGCGGACATATATTCTTAGTTTGAATACTTATTATGTATGATAAGATGGATTTGTGTTTAAGGTTAGATTGTCATATTATTTTTTAAAATTTTATTAATTTTTAATAATATTATTATTTATTACGACATCTGGTTCAATCCCGATTCGACCGGTCAAACCAGTGGAACCATAAACATCTCCTTCTTCTGGTTCGTTGTCCGCTCCGATTTTCACAACCTTGATAATTTCTCAAAGTACACAAAATGTTTATTATATCTATCAAATTGATGTGAAATATGATTTTTGAATGGATGTTGAAGATGAATTATATATCAAGCAACTCTTTTGACTAAATTAATCAGTCTATAGTATTTATTGAAGAAAATTAATTCATATAATGGACCTCACATACTTAGATAAAGGTTCGATCTTATCGTTAACCTATGAGCAACATGAATTTTGTGTATCTTTCTATAAAGGCTCTAGGTAAGTACATATAAGACAACACAAGACAAGGTACCACAACCACATATATTTTTCATTAACTTGAAATTAACTATGGTTGTTGAAGTTCTTTTAATACAATAAATAACATTGGATTCCTTTATATTCCTATGTCATATCATATTGGTCTACAAAATTAAGGGTGAAGAGATAGATCTATCAAAAGATTTCTTTATTTTTATATCAATAAGATAATAAAAATATGAATATAGCACGAACAAAATTAGCCTCTCTTTTGAGAGTGGATAAAATAGAATTGTGAAATGCATAATTTTATATTTGAAATATAAAATAAATTTTTTTCTTATAATTGGTGCAACTGCATTTATTGAAGATGGTTAAAATAGGTAAAATATTTATTTTCTACGAAACAAAAAAGATTTCAGAGTGAGCAATTGCCCGCCCTAAGCTTTTCCTGGCTCCACCAACCCTGTGAATAAAAACACTCGCCCGTCAAACTTCATTTACATAAACATAAAAAACAAAGGAACAATAGATCAATAATTCTATATCTTTTTAAATATAGAACATATAAAAATATTCATTATTGTGCCAGTGTGATCCTCTCATCAAAATAACTTGCATAAGCTCAATCACATTAAAAAAAATATTGCAATTTTTACATTAAAAATATTAAAATAATTTTATGCAAAAAGGAAAGATAATTCAGCCTTAAAACCTAATGATAATACCAAAACACACACAAAAAATATTAATAAACAAAAAATTAAAAAGAGGAGAGATAGAGGGGAGGGCCACCTAATCACCCAAGTAATTTAAATTAAATTTCAATTAGATATTTTGATCAAATTTAATGATAATTAAGTTTGAAATTATTAAAATTTTTGTAAAAAAAAATGATATGAGAGAAAATATTTAAATTTTATATTATACTTATCTCAAAATAAATTCAATAATTTTAAGCATCATCTAAATAAAAAATTTAGCTAGAAAGTCTTGGGACAAAAACTTTCCTTACCTTTAGTTAATATGCACCCCCTACTTATCAATTTTTTCTTAATCTTTTTTCCATATTAACTATTTGTGCTTACCTATCTCTTGCTTTCCACAACAAGTTTTTATTGCACTAAATGAGATGGCAACATAAATCTTTTTTCTCTATCGTGTCATAAAAAAGTCAAATTCTCATTTAAATATAATTAAAAAAGAAGATCATTTTGAATGTTTTCTAATCAAATCATTTTAGATCTGTTTCTATCTTTCTTAACATAAGCTAAATATGACACATCTACTCTCCTAATAAGCTCATCAGAAAGCCAACATTATACAACCAAACTATTTAAGACGACTCTTTCTGATCTTATTGCCACTGGAGCTACTCCAACCTTTTTACATATATACTCATTTCACATTTTATCTCTAACTGTAAAGCCACTCATCCACCTGAGCATTTACATCCATGTAACACTTAACTTAATTTTATGCTTCTATTTTAAAGTCCAATATTTTACGCCATAAAACATTGTAGACCTTACCGCCTTATAAAAGTTTCCCTAATCTCTTGCTTTCCATGAAAAAAAAATTACATCAATATTCAGATATAAAATTTTATGATCAAATAAATCAGAAAATTTCTAAATTTATTTTTTTAATATTATAATATAAATTATCTTTATATTACACTCATCTCAATAAAAAATCCAAAAAGTTTAGATTGATAAATTTTAATTAAAATATTCTCATAAAATTTTTTAACAATTTCCCACTTGAAAGTTAAATAGTTTAAAAGTTAAAATTTATTTATTTATTTATTTTAAATACATATAAAATATATATACTAATTAAAACTTCATTTGATGCGACTTTCTTACTGCTTCTTAAAACAACTTTTTAATAAGCAACAAAAAAATCATCTCAAATGAAGCCTAAATCTTCTAACTACGGCTTCGTTTGGGATGACTTTCCTACTGCTTTTTAAACCAGCTTTCCAATTTTTGTACTAGAAAGCTATTTTAAGAAGCACTAAGAGAGTCGTCCCAAACCAAGCCTAATTCAATACTAGTTATAACAAGGAAACAAAAATAAGCTTCATTTGTGACAACTTAATTATTGATTTTTAAAACAACTTTTTAGTACAAACATTTTTTAAACTTCATTTATTACAACTTTTGACCACACCATTAATTTTACTGATTTCAAAAAACTTTATACTAAAAAATAATTCGAAAGCTAACCCATAATAATAATAATAATAATAATAATAATAATAATAATAATAATAAACTATCACAAACAAAGCCATTATAATAAAAACATGCAAAGTCAACTGCCAACAAGAACTAATTCGAATACCTCTTAAAGAAGAAACTTTCCATTCTGTAACTGTCAACAGAGCTCTTCCAAGAGGCAAATTATTGCATCCGGTCACCGAACGCAGAAAATAGGTTCAAACATCCAATAAAAATTTGCCACATCACCTGCGCTTTTAACTTGCGCTTTGACTGTACTTTACATGCGCTTTTGACTGTGCTTTACCTGCGCTTTTGATGCGCTTAATTTAAAATAATATTTTATTAATATTCGGACCTATCTCCGCATCTGGTGATCGGATGCAATAATTTGCCCTTCCAAGAAAATCTAAAAACTTGAAAAACGATTCATCAATTCAAAGTTCACAAACAGTACCCACAAAATTAAGAACAGATGTCAAATAAATATAAAATATACCAATCATTTTGGTATCCTTAACTCTTTATTAACAATCAAAATAACCTCCAACTATATTAAAATACCAACCTAATCCCTTAACTTCTTAAATAACGATCAAATTAATCATTCTCTAGAATCATTCAAGTCCCTACAACAACAACAACAAGCTTTTATTTCACTATGTGGGATCGGCTACATGAATCCTTTTTCTACTGTCTACGATTAAGAGTCAAATTCTCATGTAAATCTAAAAAAGAAAGATCATTTCTAATATTTTCTAACCAAGTCTTTTTAAATCTACCTCTATCTTTCTTAACATTACTCAAATCTGATACATCTACTTTCCTAACCGTGTCATCGAAAGGCGTTTTATATGACCAAACCATCTAAGACGACACTCTAATATTAACTTCCACTGGAGCTATACTCCAACCTTTTCCACCGGAGAATCATTCAAATCCCTACTTAAAAATAAAATCAATAAACTAAAATGAGATTTCTTCTAAATAATTGAAGATCATTTTGAACATTCATAAAAAATCAGGAGACCATTCGGACTGTATGTCTAAATATAATCAAACAAACTCAAAGCATCGTCGGACAGTAAAAATCAAGTAAATCAATCATAAAATTCAACAATAATTAAAAAAAAAAGAAGATAAATTTGATCTAACATACAATTCTAACTAAAAAAACCTGATCAATCCAGAATTAAATCAAAGACTAACACAAAGGTTCAGCTTTAGCACTGCAGAGACCAATAATCATTAACATGCCCAAACACAGTAATAATCAGAAGTCTAGACTGCAATTGCAAAAGGTTCAGACATCAGAGAACTAAAACAACAAAACTAAACTAAACATAATAAAATTACTAATCTTTCATGCCCTGGCCCTCTTGTTGCTACAAGCAGGGCACTTGTATTGCTTGATGTGCTCGGCCCTGGCTGGAGTGATCCTAACACATTTGCCATGGAACCATTTTTCGCAAATGTCGCAGCATATCCAGAACTCATCATTTGCGTAGTTGTCGCCGCAAGCGCCGCATAAGGTATTCCCATGCTCGTCCTCCTCGTCTTCTTCTTCTTCGCTCTCATCGTCGTCGTCGTCTTTTGGAAGAGCCAACTTCGACGTCTTAGTCTGGGAGGGTTGGGAGGGCTGTGAGGGCTGTGCTCAGAAGATTTTTAAATAAATTAAAAAAAAATAGATCAGTAGTATTCTAGATTTGATGAGTGTGTAAATTACCTTTGAGTTTGGTTTGCTGCTCTTGTTGTTGCCATTGGGAGTTTTTTCTTTTGATTGTTTCTTGACGGATCCTGTGACAACTTCAAATATGGTGGGCAGGTTGTTAATCATGTTGAACAACCGCTTCCTGTGAATAAAGAGCATAAGGTATATCAAGCTTTGTCTTATTTCTTATTTAAACTCGAGCCGTTTTAATGTTCTGAAGCAACTAGAAGATATCCATTTAGATAACCATGATGAAAGATCTAATTTAAAAGAAACCAATTCTTCGATATGATTGATCAGACTTTGAGGTTTTTAACAGCAATTCCATATCAGATATGAAACTGATGTGTTTTGGAAGCAAAAACAGTAAAATAGAGAAGAAGAAATGCAGGAACACAAATTTAGGGGCTGGTATTTTAATATTGTTTCAACTAATAATGAAAGATACAATTGATCTACTATTCGAGAGGTAGATCAGCTCTCCCACAATTATAATCTTTCTAAACAACTCCCCTTGATTCCTTACATAATGAATAATAGCTCCTCGGGCTTGGCTGTGTGTCCCCGTCGTGTATTATATACCATCTTGCAATAGTTTAACACCTTTGCTAAAGCCTTCACTTTTTATCAGATCCAATCTTGTGCTTCTATTTGACTTCCATGCTTTGATTTTTCTTGCTTCATCATCCACATTGATACCAGAAACAACTCCTTGTTCTAGCAGTCCATTATCGCCTACTGCTTGCTAAAGCACCTTAACCTTTGCACACAACTTTTTTAGCTCCAAGATTAGGGCGAATGCTCTTAGACTTCTTGGGTTGTGATGCTTGCCTCATAAAAGTCTGAAATTTTTAGGTTTTTTTCTGTTACTGTTCAGAATGTGAAGATTTATCTATGAAATGATGTGTTCTTCCAGAGACGCAATCACATTTTCCAAAGAAGCAAAAAGGGTAGCATAGGCATTTAATTCTGCCTTCAGCCCCTTATTTTATTTTCCAAGTGCTTCAACTTTTTCTTTTACATCTTCTTGAACATTTCCGCAAGAATTTCTTCAACTGGAAACTTCATTTACACAATATCAGTTGTCCCAATTGATACTTGGATATTTGTGAACCTATAAAGATAGTTCACATCACTAAGTAACCATTACATATCAAAAAAAATTTCAATAATGCAACTCTTGGAAATTAATGAGAGGAGCTCCTCAGCAATAGTTTCTTCAAGAATATCATCATTTTCTTCTTCTCATGCTTCATTTTGCTCACTTGAATCATAAAATTTCTTTGACAACAATTCATTTTCCTTGAGCAACTACGAGATTTCATTCTGAGACATAAGACAAGCTTCCTGTAAATCCGATAATCTTCCGCACATTCTCTCCAATCCTACATTTAGCATTTCCTCCCGCTGTTTGCTTGCATTAATCCTTCTACAAATGCTTACTTACCTCCATTACACCATGATTTTTTTTCTTTTGAAGGTTAAAATTTTCTTGATTCTTCAAATAGATTCTTGCTCAAGCACTTTATTTTTGAGCTCTAAGCTCAACTAATAAAATGCAAGCTGCTCTAAAAGTGTGAAAAAAGATGGTTTCTCAAGTTGAAAATGATGGATGCCACCATTGGTAACTAGATCAATAGCCTGCAGCATTGCAATTTTATATGAAATAATCTGCAAAATATTATCATAACAATCATTTGAAAATGACTCACAAACCTTCTTAGGCTTCATTTGGGGCGGCTTTTTTTATTGCTTCTTAAAGCATCTTTTTAGTTAACAAATTTTAATTTTTGTACTTGAAAGATGCTTTAAGCAGTAAAAAAGTCATCCCAAACGAAGCCTGAATGTCATATGTTATCATCATCACATGAATTCCTTCCAAAAGTTTCACATTATAATCCGACGGTGTAATTAACTTCCTCTCTTGAGTCACAAACCTTCTTAGGCTTCATTTGGGGCGGCTTTTTTTATTGCTTCTTAAAGCATCTTTTTAGTTAACAAATTTTAATGTCATATGTTTTCATCATCACATGAATTCCTTCCAAAAGTTTCACATTATAATCCGACGGTGTAATTAACTTCCTCTCTTGAGTGGCCCATTCCTGTTTAAGTTCAAAAAAGAAATTTTATGCATGCTTCAATTTCTCTATGTACTTTCCGCAATCTTTGGAGAGAAATAGATTGTTTTCAATCAATTCAACCAACAATTGAATCAGGATGAAACTAACAATCCCAATATTTACTACTTTATAAGCTCCTCCTCAAGCTCCTGTTTTGTAACTTGGATTTGTTTTTCAATATTTTGATTTGATTACTCAAAATAATCAATTGACTACTAAAGAAACTGATATTATGTTCATCCTCTAGTTTTCCTTGTTGAAATGGACAATGCAATTCTTCCATATCATGATCTGCTAGATCCTTCTCGTCTATAATCTCTTCGTTGCCTTCTAATGCCACAAATCGATTCTCTAGGCTTGGAAGATGCAATTCCACCTGAATTTCAACCTTTGAATTTTCCGGCTTAAACAATTCGATGTCAACTTTGTCCTTTGAGAACTATGTATTAGCTGCATCCTGTGATTCAGCCTCAACATTCCCGTCTTCAGAAATACCCATACCAATAGAAACCAAAGGTGCTTCCACTACTTTTCTTTCATTCTCAAACATTGACTTGGTTTTAATGTCTTTCCATCTTCGTTTTTGGATTTTGAAAACACAGGTTCTCGGCATATGGAGGTCTCAGTAGAATCACTTTGCACAAGACTAAGGATTCGATAAACACTATCAGCTTGGCTTTGCAAGTTTATGTATTTTCCCTCCTCATTCACATCTTTCTCATTGTCGATCAGTTTATCCTCGAAAGGTGCTTGTGCATCACTGATTGAACTCTCACTCTTCTTCTTCTCAATCATTAGCATCTTCAACTTTCTAACCCTAGGATCGTCACCGCCCCAATAACTTCTTCCTTCTACAATGTAGCGATTGTCGTAATCCCTCCATGTTTTCCTTGTGTATCAAGGGTGTGTATCCCACCTTTCTTCCACACTCCTTGTATGATCCGATCCCATGGCTCAGCTTGACCCCCTCCATCTCTGGTCACCCCCTCCCCTTGCCAGAAATGCCTCCCATAGTGGTCGGCCATGTCACGCCCCAAGATCTAACTTGGAAGAATTATTCAGTCAATCCTTTAAACCATCAACTACCAGAGTTATCTATAGTCATCAATCACTGATAAACAGTTTAACAAAATCTATAATTTAAAACATCATGTAAACATTTCTATTCATTCCCAAAAGTTCATTTACAATACTCAAGATTTACACATTAATCACATATATCCAGTCTTGAGTAAAAAAGAATAACTATAACAAAAAGAAACAAAAACCTGAACATTCCTTATCAACCTCACACTCCTGCTCCCTTGCCCTGATCTGAAATTATTAACCACATATAATGAGCTTAAAAAGCCCAGCAGGTCACCAAATACCTACAACTAAAATCAAAGCACGGTACGGAATCAATATGCATGTCAATCAATTAAATCATGGCAGTCACTTACACATGATCATTGAGTCGATGAAGAAACAGAAATCAATGCATAAACAGTAATCAGTACAGTAACAGTGGTCAATACATAAACAGTTGAATGTACAATCATTGGTGATAGAATCAGTGAACAGTAGAAAAATCCATAAAGCTCAATGAACCAGTACGTGCATCAAATCTCTACAGTAGTCGTCGTATCTATAACATCAGTCAAATCATTAAATAAATTCTCGTATCAGTAATATCAATCAAATCAGTCAACAAATCATCGTGTCAATAATACTAGTCGTATAAAGAGAGACCATCAATTCAATAATATCAGTCGACATAAAACATCAAATCAATACTATCGTTTGTGACTGTTGAAATCAAACCAATGCAGTAAAATCGTATCAAAACGTACACTTACAATTCCAGTTATTCAATATCACGTGCTCAGCGAATCACATGCAATCCAGTAATCTATATCATGTGTTCAATGAATCACATGTCACTTGCTCAGTATATCACATGCATAATGTCAGTACAGTGAATCAGTAGTATCAGTATCTATATCAGTATCAATATCAATATCCATAATAATTCAGTGACATGAACGATAATGTTATAATAGTGAAATCGTGTAGTAACAGTAAATCTGTACAGTAACGATAAATCCGTACAATAAATCTGTTCAATATCAATAAATTTGTATAGTAGCAGTAACAATACTGGTAAACATGTAATTCAGTACAGTAGTCATATTCAACAAGTACAAGCGCTGGCTATTAAGGTGTTTTTCAGTCTTGTATCAGTGTCAGTATCAGTATCCGTTGGCTCAGTAAAAAGAGTCGTCACTCTTTGCCCGTCGGCACAGTAATCATCTCCTTATAACTCCTATCAGTAATCATGTGATTAGTAGAGGATAACACAAAATCATGTACAGGTCGATCAGTCTCTAACCAATGGTTCAACCAGTCTTTACTTGTCTTTACACATACAACCATATTATAGTAATATAAAAGTAATTTCATTCATATAGTCATATTCATCATCAACTCATCAATGCATTGCAACCGTAAAACATGATTTAGCTCAATTTAGAAAACCCTTAAAATATCGTATAGTAGACAGAAGTCGTTGTAAAATGCACAGTTTCAGAAAATTACCAAATTATCAGTGATCATGTAAAACAACATTTTAAGGCTTTTATTGTACTGAAACACTATTTTTCAACATCTAGATAATTTTCTATTCGATAAAAAACCCACAAAATTCGGAATACCCAGTGAAAAATTACAAATGAATATTCAAAATACCTGTAATCACATTCTCTATAACATACAGAAAGTTACGCGGTAAAAGTTTCGTCAATACAAAGATATGCACGTTTTTCGATAACGGAAATGCAAAACTGAGCAAAAAAATATCAAAACACAAAATCTTCGAAACTAGAAATAGGATTCGGATTCCTTACTGCGAGAAAAATTATTCTTCCAACTGCGTCGACGGACGAAAATCGCTCCGCGGCCTCTGAAATCAAGCTTTTCCCTCCTTCCTTCTCTTTCTCTCTCCATCTTTTCTCTCTCCTCAAAACATGTTAAACGGTCCATA